TACAGGTATTCTAGTCTCCTAGTAAGAATATAGGATGACAAGTACATACAGGTATTCTAGTCTCCTAGTTAGAGTATAGCGTGATGCGTACATACAGGTATTCTAGTCTCCTAGTTAGAGTATAGCGTGATGCGTACATACAGGTATTCTAGTCTCCTAGTTAGAGTGTAGCGTGATGCGTACATACAGGTATTCTAGTCTCCTAGTTAGAGTATAACGTGATGCGTACATACAGGTATTCTAGTCTCCTAGTTAGAATATAGGATGACAAGTACATACAGGTAAACTAATCCTGCGGTGCAGGATTAGCTGATGAATTAGTTCCCCACCATTTACCCTGACCTGATTTATTGCGTTGTTCCTGTGGAGACACTTGCTTGATATTGCTTGCCTTTATTGGTATTCATGTGGGTTGTCACGTTTGACACATTTTTTATGTAAACACTTGAACGTGTGAATCATTGAAAATTGTGTCGATCTCGATCTCGTATGCTCGATTTTCTATCGTAACGTTGAAAGTATTGTTACGTAACCCGTATATTTTACGCTGGGGTTGAACGTTTGTGAATATCCTTACTTTATCGATTTGGCAACTTGTGACTTTTCCTATATAACAGAGGTTTTTCACACACAAAAACTAGTAAATAAAACATGTGCTTTTTCGGCCTTCAGGTTACTACTGAAATCTACAATCAAATCAAGGACCGGGGGTACGAATTCCAGTGTCGAGGCACCATCAACGTGAAGGGCAAGGGAGAGATGACCACGTATTTTCTCAAGGGCCGATCGAGCGGAGAGAGCTGATACTTCGCGCGGCTCTCGTAGTATAGCAGCGTGCGCGTCGTTGAGCACGCCTCGTCCGCTCGACACGTCGTCGTGAGAGGGTCGGCCACGCAGCAGCGGCAGCAGCTGCCTCGTGAGGAGCCGCAGCAGCCGAGTATTCGCGCGTCTGTGATTGCTACGTCTCGTGCTGCGTCGATTGCCGCGTAGTGAGCGAGAATCGGCTTCTAGAACAGTCGCGAACGCAAGCAGCAGCAACAGCAGCAGCAGCAGCAACAGCAGCAACAGCAGCAGCAGCAGCAACAGCAGCAACAACAGCAGCAGCAGCAAGAACAACAGCATCAGCAGCAGCAATAACAAAAAGCGCAGCAGCAGCAGTAGTAGTAGTAGTAGTAGTAGTAGTAGTAGTAGTAGTAGTAGTAGTAGTAGTAGTAGTAGTAGTAGTAGTAGTAGTAACAACAACAATACCAGTAGTAGTAGTAGCAGTAGTCGTAGAAGTAGTAACCACAGCAGCAGTAGCAACAACAATATCAGAAAGTACATCAACAACAGCAACCACAACAATAATAGTAGTAGTAATAGTAGCAGTGCCAGCAGCAACAGGTTGCATAGTTCATCCGCTCGATTTTTAATTGCTTGGAAATCGCCGAGGCGCGCGGGATCGCTGCTATAACGACGTGTTAGGGAGAGAGAGAGAGAGAGAGAGAGAGGAGGAGGGACGGGGGCGCGGCGCGTGTGTCG